TGCTGGCTGGGGGATTCTGGGAGTTGAAGTCCACAGGACTTAAAAGTTGCCAAGGTTGAGAAACACTGTATTAGAGCAAGGGAACGCCTGTTAGCTACGGCTGCAAGGCTTCCAGGGTAGAATCAATACTTTTGGTGATAATACCAATATAAAGTTGAAATTTATTCAATCAGAATTGTATCCGTCCTTATTTTCCTATGTGAACAAAATTGTTCTTTGAGAGGATCAAGCTGAAGCGATTCTTATGATTTGATCTCAGCATACAAACAAGACTCCTGAGCCCATCAGCCCCAGCTGATTTTATTTGCTGTAGGAAAAGGCATCCTTTTCCCATTCCGACTAGTAATAGGAAGAGGCCTCTTTCCATGATCCTTAGTAAGCCACAAGATTACCTGCCACATTAGGGAAGGTCGTAAATGAGAGGGGATCCTTTGCAAAGCTAACAAAAAATATGGAAAATATGTCTTATGTTTTATCATAAATTTGCCTTTTACTTACAGATTAATAATAATAATAATAATAATCTGTAGCATTTAAGCAGCATTTAAAAGACACTTCTTTTAAGGTTGCCTATTCTAATTTTCATCTACGAAACCCATAAGCAATTTTAAAATGTTTCCAAAAACTTTGGAAATCTTAACCTTTATCTTTGTCTCTACAACATGCTGAAGACAATTAACATGGAATACTTCTGCCCAAATTTAGCTCTCTTGACTAAGATCCATGTGTCCATAAATCTTACAAATAATATACAAAATGAAGTCCATATGCTAAACTGCACTGATGTTTACTAAAGATGATTCTTGGGCACATTTATGGATTTTTAGTGTGTTTTTAGTTTGCTCATTTGTGGAAAAAAATAACCAAAATCGGAAATTATCCAAGTTTCCTATGTTAGGGAACCAAAAATGATTGATGTTTGGATAAACACACGTTTGGATAAACACACACACACACACACAAACTTACTTACTTACTTTTAAAGGATTTAACATGTTGTTCTATTGTTTCAAGTGTCTCAGAAACTAAGAACCCTGTTCGTCCATACAATATTTTAATAAAGACTGTTGCTGTATATATTGTCTAGTTACATCTGATAATTAATATTTATCTCTTAATGTATTGTCATTGTCAGTTGGCTATCTAAAATTAATATTTCTGCTGCTATCCAATTTTTCCAAATCACCATCTTTTTTCCCCTATATTTAAAGTTGGGTTTCTCCATAAAATCAAGGGGAGGGGTCAAACATTATTTTATTAAGCATTATATTCTATGACTCCTAACTAATATAATGGTTTCCGAGATACTAGAGTTTTAATATATTTGAATCCTAATGCTATCCATCCAACCATAGGGGTTATAATGTTTAATAATTGACAATAGGCAAGTATAGCTCCAGTTTCAGAAAACCAAATCCTCCTTCATTGATTGGTAATTGCATTTCTATTAAGATGGTCTCAGAATCAAACAGGCTCTTTAAAATTTTCTAAACAAAGAATTTATTTTCTAAATTTATTTTCTGGATATACGGAATATACTAGAATTCGTCCCACAATATAAATTAATCTGGGAATAATATTCATTTTGAAAGTGTTCACCTTTCCCCAAAGAGCGAGGTTTAATTATTCCTATTCCCTGAAGAAACCTCTCTCTATTTGATTTGTATTAGGAAATCTCTTTCTCTATTTGATTTATATGACATACTACTAAGTTATACATTTTAGTATGCAAATACCTAATATGAATAAGCAAGGGTGAAAGTAGACATTCTTTCCTAGTTTCTCTGAATGGTGAGAAAATGGGAGAAAACATCCTTGTTACTTTAGACGTGGGAGATTTACGGCATATGCTATTTTTCCATTTGTTTACAGGAATGCATGCTTGGACTCTGCTACGCTTGTAGAAAAAGGCTGTGAAAAAGAGCATTTTGTGGGAGATGTAGCAAGAATGCACAGAGGTGTATATATAGATATGCCAAGTATTATTATTACCCTGGAGCAGAGGTCCTGAGGTTTTGTGGAGAGGTTCTGGGGCATTTCTCTGCAGCGAGTGGAAAGGTTCAGGATAGCCGTGGCAGCCATGTGCGCTGCCTCCATGTCGTGGGTGTAGTCAAAGCTGCTCTTGCTGCAGGTGCTGCTGGCGCTGCTGCCTCCTCCGCAGCTCATGTTGCTGCTGCTGCTGGGCGCATAGCTGCTGGTGGTGCTGCTGGTTGGGCTCGAATTCTTACAGTAGCGTTTAGCTGTGGAAAGGAAAGAGGACGAGAATGACCCCCAGGAACTCTATGGGACACCCATGAAGAAGTGGTGCCATGCACTGTGCTCTAAAGGAGCTGCAGGCTTCCCGGAAGGTTTTATAACATCTCTGTGTGTCTCCTTGGCCCAGGAAACCAAGATGCAACGTCAAAAAAGCAAAATAATAATCAACCAAGTATTCCATTGCGACACGGGGATGAGATTAAGTGGGGGGAAACGACTCTGAGGACTTTTTGCACTCTGGAATGCCTTGCAGTGCAGGGGATAAAGATGCTACAAACAGGCAATCAAACAAATGCATTTTATTCAAAAGCAGAATTTCCCCTCCTGTTGCCCTCCAGGTCGTCCTTCTATTGTGTGTACAACCTAACGTTTCCAGGAGTACAAGAAAGAAAGAAATTCTGACATCATTACACAAACATCTGGTTGGTTAGGAGGAAGGAAAGGACAAACACTTGAATGCGGGTTACCTACCAATCCCATCGAAAGAGCACAAAACTTAACAATGTGCCCTTTGCTTCCAATTTTCCCCATAACAGCAACTCTTCCGAAGCTGCTTCCCTTCTCTTCTGCCCGCTGACTTTTTGCCAGTCATTCTCTATTTGATTCTGATTAATCTCTAAATATGCATTGGAATGACGAAGCCTTTTAATGAAACTTCTCTGTCTCAAAGATAAATGAGTATATTATGGAATTTGAATATATAACAAGAAGCAATAAATATTTCAGGAAGCTGTTAGCAGTACATATAAATTTATATTTGAGTCGACCTAAACTAAAGTGAACTCTCTTCATCACTTCTATAGGTGTCCACAGCAAAGCAGGTCTGCGTCAAAATAACCACATGCGATGTCATGAACTCATGTGACCAGGATTTACGATTTTTTTTTTCAGAAACCAGTTTCCGGCAAAAAACACCCCATAGCGAACAATGGGAATTTTCTTGCAAAAGACTAATAGGATTATCTATCTTAAAAAGAATAATCCAGCTGTAAAGGATATCCAGATGGAAAAGAATAGGATGGAGGGGAAGCAGAACTTGTATTGCCATTTCGTTTTCAATTTTATGTTAATTATGAGAAAATAAATTAAACCGATCATGGAAAGCTATCATAGTGGTAAACCCCCAAATATAGGGCTTCAAAGGTTGTTCATGGCTATTTCTGTAATTTATAATATCTTCTTCACTTGAGAAGAAAATAAGGGAAAGCGTCCATTTGAACTGCATCGAAATCTGTACACATTCATGTGCTTCACATTCTGTGGAGCTATTTATCTTGCGCAATGGCATATACCAGGGGTGTCCAAGTAGTGGCCCATGGGCCGGGTGCATCACGCACAGACCACACCCAGCTCTACGATGGGGAGAAAACATTTTGATATCTCACATTATGGCAACGTGAAGCCACACATTTGAAGGCAGAAGTAGCAGATAGCTTTAGAGTCAGATGATGTAATGTGTTTTAGAACTGCTATTATAATTTTAATAAAATGAATTCAGCAATCTACGAACTCACTGCTACTCAACCAAGGAAGGGGGAAAAAGGAGGCATGTATCTCCCTGTCTACTTCCAAATCTGTAGGAAACTGTAATATGGGAAAATAAGCCAGCTAGCTAAGGGTGTTTCTTTAACAGTGTTAACAACTGTATTTATCTTGTAATACACGAAGAATATGCATCTCATACCATCATATCCTTTGGGGGATATATCTCTGGATTGTACTTTAGGTGCTATGGCTCTCTTTCCATAGGCATGGTTGTCATAACTGTTATATTCAAAGGTGGTCTTAGAGTACTTCTCTAGTTCCTTGGCCAGGTTGGAGCGAGGTGTGGTGGTAGGAACATTGTTTCTGTAGCCATACTGAGGAATTTCCAACTGCTTCACAAAACACATGGGCCTAGAAAATGAAAAAGAAGAAAGGGGAAAAATCCATGTCCTATTAAAAGCATAAACCACAATTCATAAACATGATAACACTTGTTCTATTTATTGTATTCAGATGGTAGCAGTGTTTTATACTTTTGGACATCTCTCTGTTGAACAAAAATCGGGAGCAAACGGATTGCCATCACAACATTTGTTTAACAATATAGAAATAGGAAAAAGTCCTCTTTAAACAGCCCAAGTTTAAAAACAGTATTTTTAAACTTAGGCAATGTATATATTTAAATATACTACAAACTCCAGAATGGTATATCTCAATCTAGAATAGTAGATTCTTGGCATGGGAAATATATGGTTTGATAGGTTTATTCACAGACTCCACAATGCTCAGTGATTAAACTGTGCTAATCCTACTATCTACTGCTGATCTTGAAACTCACCCAGTTCAGCTCAAAACCCAAGTTGCTGGGAGACTTATACATCTCATATCGACTTTTTCTTTCTTTTCCAGGAACCATTTAGATTAGAACAGTTCTATCCTGGAACATGACTATGAGTTTTTTTGAAGGACATTGTGATTTGACAATTTCAGCTATTTTTGTCCTTTTTTTTGCAGATATCAATGATATAACTGCAAATATTTTTGATCCTTTGGATAGCTCCATAAGTCTTGTGTTTCTTTACACGCTATGATAAAAGATGAAGAATTTCAAGCATTTTACCTCCTTGCTTCCTAAGCAAATGAGAGTATGGGTTGTAAATGTATAACAACTGAACAATCTCTGAAGGTAACCCAACATTAGTTTATACATTCAGATGGATAAATTCAGATTGTGTCCTCAAGGAAAAAATAATTTCTCTCGGTCTATAATTAAATATTTATGTATAAATGAAGTACAATCATTATTTCTATCTTTTGATTTCCATGTTTGAGACATGAAAATGAATCAAAATTGTTTGGGCCAGTGCATTTATAAGCATGAGATCTGAGACTGGCAAGGCCAGAAATAATTAGCCTATTGCCAGACACAACCAGCAAGTGTCATCAATATCCAAGTTTACAGCAAAACGTTGGTCGCTATATAAAGATGGCAGAAAAAGATATAGGCTGAAAACCTGGTTCTGGCATATCCATATAGGCCAGATTCCTGGATTCTGCAGTAGCTGACATTTCTTTTGCACCTGTATTTAAAATAACTAATCCATCTTAGCCTCTTCGTGTCTGCATTTCTAAAGACAGATTCATTGCCATGCCTAGGTGAAGCTCTAGGCCAATTAATATGAACAGAAATACATTAAAGCTCTTCTTTGGCTGCCACAACTTCTGATTTTATTCTAGATTGCAATTTAAAAAACAAAAATACAAAAATCTAGCCTATTCTACTCATAGTGTAAAATGGGATTTCCTCAGGAACCACTAGCTGTATTGGGCATGGTAAGTAATCCATCATAGACAGTCAATCTTGTAGTAGTTGCTGATATCAAAGTCAAGACAATTTTCCTTTAGCAGTCAATATAACAATAAAGCAGTTAAGTTGCGAGGATAGTTTTCAATTTTCTTTATACCAGAAGGGGTAGGATTTAAACACACGAATTGCTTATGAATTACTCTGTTTTAATTCAAAAAGGAGGGGAAAGAGCAACAAACTCTGCTTAGTAAACATAGGTAGTACAGGGTACATTTCAAAATATTCACCTTAAATACCTGTACAAAATAAAAGTTGTCATACATCTGAGATCATAATATAACTCAGATCACTTATCATCTGAGGGCACGGCAATGTTAAAGGCAAAAGCAAAATTGTAGGAATAATTTTGATTTGAGGCATCAGCATTCAGATGCTGCTTTAAATAAGTTTCATTTACATGGCATCTGATTTCTCATTAAAGAAAATATTTGTTTGTTTGTTTGTTAAATTTACTGGCTGTCCATCTTGCCATAGGGTAACCCTGGGCGGCTTAGAGTTACATCTTAATTAAAACATAAAAAGTTTAAATCAGACCTTACAACCAAAGGCACATAGGGAGGGCGGGACGGAGGAAAGTGGGATCTGTTATTAGTCAATCGACCACTTCCATTGTGCTGATCACTGAGACCCCCAAGCCACGTCTTTAGGCCCTTACGAAAAACGGGAGGATTGCTGCCAACCTCCCATCGGGTTTTAGCACAGTAATAAAAATATACTAGTTTTTTTTTTCTGGCAGTAAAAAGGGTAGAAAATAATTATGTTTATTAAAATTATGTTTGTTGTTTCTGAAAATGGAAAAAATAAATGGAACAATCCCTTCACCTAAAAACTAAAATCTATCCAATGTTCTTGAGCATAAGCAAAAGCACGTCGTCACCCATTTGAAAAATTATCTTAATTTTTCTCAGGAAAATAGCATGGAAAAAAACCCCACTAAAATTATAGAATGCACACATCTAATTTTACTTCTGTCTCTATACTACATTGCGAAATATGCCATAAAATATTTATGAAATTTGAAAATCTTTGCTTTGTAGTAATAATCTGGTATGTTACTCATACTCTGATTCTCAAATTTTCCAATGATAAAAAATGGGGAGACTTGAAGAGAAATCTGTAAGCATTATAAATTTCTGTAGTGTACAGGGCAAGATTAGTATCAGTAAGTACCATACATTTAAAATAGTAGGTACAAAATATGTCTGGATATTTATTCTAAATGTGTTTTTGACAATAAGAGTTCTTACTACACATAATATCTGAAGACATCCCAAAGTAGCTCTAAATAACATTTTCCCCAGATAGTTTTTAATACTATGATATGCCCCTACATCCCACTACAGAGGGCGATACACACTGCTCTCTTTGGGTGGAAAGAGCTGCGGATTAGCTCATTTAAGAGTCCATCCCAAGAAGACGGCTGAGTTTTCAAATCTGACTCAAAGAACACGTTGAACATGGAGATTTCTTGAATAGCATATTTTCTTAAGGTCCAGTTAACATTAGAATTGTCACTATGAGGTATTTGAATAATATCTAAATCTATAGCTTCCAGTTTGGAAATCCTGTAATTTCTAATTCCTATATCAATTACTTCCGTCAAAGATAAATCTTTGGGAAGAAAGGTATGGGGAAATCAGATAAATTCTGCTGTTTTATCTTAAAACATGTATTATTTCTCCTTTCAACTAGTAAATAGCTCTACCCACTCTATGTGAGTAAACTTTAGGAATGAATATCTTTTTAACAAGTCTGACTTTCAAATACCTCGGGAATCCTGCCTTTCTTGCCTGCATTAAGAAAAGGCCTAAGGTTCTGCATTGGATCCCCTCTGTAGCCTATATTCCTGAGGAATGAGATGTTTCATGAATTATCAGCAGCAATAAAAATATAAGCTAGATAAACGCGTACATCAGCATTCTTCTTCTTCTTCTTTTTCTTGTTCTTCTTGTTCTTCTTTCTTTCTTTTTTAGAATATACTAAGCCAGCCAAAACTTCTTATAAATTTATAAAGCCAGCCAGTCTTTTTATAAAATCTTTTAAGCCTAACAAATGATACATTTGTGAACTATAATTTTAAACTTGCAAGCTAAATGTTGAAAGTAGGGCTTCTGGTTTTCATTTAAACTGATATTTACTAGTAAACGCCTGCTGGAAAAAACAAGACTTACCGGTAAATATTAGTTTATTTCCCAAAGATATCAACTTTTTTTCACACTGTTCATAGATTCAGAACTCCAGCAGGCAGCTTTACACCAAACAATGCCTAAGACAAAAATGAGCTTTTCAGCTTTATTGATATTTGCCAAAAAAGAGAGAGAGAGAGAAACATTACCCCCCCTCCCCCAGGGTATATCGGTAGGCTTTCAAAGGCTGAAAACAGGATCCAGAAGCCCTAATTCTAAACACTGGTTCAAGGGTGACATATTTTTTTAGTGCTAAGATTAACTTCTTATTCAATTAATCTCGAATGCACTATTAAGTGTTAGAGCAACTCTGTATACCTCAAGACACGATCTGATGCCTGGTTTGATTTGGATGCATCACAGCTCTGATGCTTCTCTTGAGCTTTGGCCAGTTTCTCTGCTGCAGCAATAGGACATCCGGAGAGGCTGCAATTACAGAAAGAAAATGTAATTGTCCCATCCAGAATAGCTTCTTCACTGGGCTTTTATTAAAAAACATAAAGGAGAACCTGGCTGAATGGGTAGCGGGAAGGAACTATGTCTTGATTCATCCTCTGGAATGCAAAATTCTGCTTTTAAAATCACAAGGTTGCCATAAAAGATTAACTCCTGTTCCACTAGACATGACTAATTCTACCCATCTTGTGATCTACCAAGCCAGATAGAATCGCCCAACTACGTATTGTGACAGTCCAGGTGTTTAATTATCATTGTTTCTGCCCTCCCACTGTTTTTACAAAAACAAAGCTTAATGAGCTGGTGATTAGCCATCAAGAAGCTGGTGAGCTGCGTTCAACTCGATAAGCCACAAATTATGCTTTAGTTTGGTGTTGTTGTAAATGTTCAGGAGAACACTGCTGCCAGGCAAACAGAATATAGACTTACATATGCAATACTGTTGGCAGAATTTCCTACATATCTGCCAACCGTATTGTCTGCTGCTGCTATTGTTGCTATTAAAAAAAACTCAGAAGAAAATGGCTGGCTTATTTGAAAGTGAGCAACACTGAATTCAGCAAGGCTTATTTTCAGTGAAACTAGTTAGGACGGAGCTTTAAATAATCTTGTGCTGATTAGAATTTAGGAAAAAAGTGTAGCAAAAAAAAAAAAGAGGAAATAAAAATTCACTTGCTGTTGAAATTGATAGAAATTCTCTTGGGAGAATCCGGGCATCAACCCATAAGGACTAGCAGATAGAAAATGAAATGAAAATAAAGAAAAAAAATTAGTTAAACTAGAACACAAACACATAGCTATCAAAAATCTTCTCAGAGTCGAATTGAATTAAACCAACTCCTGGTGTCTCTTCAGGATCATAAATCCAAAGAGTTTTAGGGAAATTACTGTACAATACAGTAGAGAAAGCTGCCTAAGCATTGCCTAGAACAGTGTTTCTCAACCTTGGCAACTTGAAGATGTCTGGACTTCAACTCCCAGAATTCCCCAGCCAGCGAATGCGAATGCTGGCTGGGGAATTCTGNGGCACAGCAGCCCTCGCGCTGCTGCCGCTGCTTGTTTAAACTCAAGTCCAACGTCCCGTTTTCATCCACCTCCATGTCAGGATTCTGGGTAAAAAGACACACAAAGACAGACACTGAGACCAAAATGTATGTGGCTTGCTAAGCAAGACAGTTGATTAAGGCAGACCTAGAACTCCCAGTCTCCCATTTCCTAGCCTGGTGTCTTAATCACTCGACCATTTAAACACTAGACCAAGTCTTTCTCACACACACAACATATACACCAAAGAAGACAATTCAGCTCATCACTATCACGGTTTCTTTGAAAAATATTTCCCTGGGACTAATAATTTCACCATTTTAATTTGCTCAGTCCTTTGTGTTAACATCTACATCATTCTGGATTGACTTCTTAAAGGGAAGAGCAGAGAAAGAGTCCCTGAAATGTATCATTTTAAAGGTCAAGAAGAGCAGAAAACCTTCCGCAGAGTCAAAATTATAGCAGAAGGAAAGAAGAAGAAACTTTTCCAAATCTTTGATGCAAATTGCACCACACTGAGCAGTAAAAGGTACTGGAATGGATGGAGCTTTGCAATGCACAAAGTTGTTCAGCGTTTGTGTGTATGTGTGTGTTTGGGGGGGACGGACCCTGGTCCTTTCATTCCCCATAGCGACAGAGGCACAGGAGAAAGGGGGGGGGGCATTTCCCTTCTGCCTTTCCCTCTCGCTAAATACTTTTAAAGAAAAGGTTGGAGTTTCAAAATGGATGTAAAAAAAGAGGTTTTATCCTTTTTAATATAAATGATGATAGTCTATAACAGTGTTTCTCAACCTGGGTGACTTTAAGTCCTGTGAACTTCAACTCCCAGAATTCCCCAGCCAGCATAGCATAGCTGGCTGGGGAATTCTGGGAGTTGAAGTCCACAGGACTTAAAGTCACCCAGGTTGAGAAACACACTGGTCTATAAAGATTAATAGGAGTGAACAGAATTATATGTTATTTATCCCAGCAAGATGAAAAGCAGGGACGCTCAAACTGATTGCTTTATTCAAAGAAAAGAACATATTTTAGTTTCCATGCGGAAACCACTTTTAAATTTCCTCCTTGCGGTGGAAAAAAAAACGAAATTGTGATTTTGGTTTTCCTGATTAGATAGTTTGTTGTTATAGAATTGGGTAGTATATATTATTGTGTAAAAGTAAAAAAGTCGAGGTTGTAATGTTATTTATCTTCTACTGTGCTAAAAAAGTGTCAGAAGTCAATGCCTCCCCCCCCTTTTCCCCTTCCACCACACACTTTCTCCTTTTTCCCCTTTTCCCACTCTTAATCTCCCCTTATTTTCATTTTTTTTGTATTTTATACTCTGATAAACTAATAAAAAT